AGTGTGAAAGTCAAATCAATAAAAGTGAAGTTTCTATAGCAGGGGCCAGCAACGTTTTTGGGCCCAATGCCAAAACCCCCCACAACCTAGACTCTGAAGAGGCTGGCATGCCAGGAACAGATGGCAGGGCGTCCACAAGGGGCCTGATCCTTGTCTTGGCAGCGCAGCCCTGGCCCCTTCCCTGCCATGCTTCCCAAGGTGCACGTACAGCTGCTGCCAGCAATGAGTCAGGCTGTGGCTCCAGACACCAGTGCAGCCATTTGCAGCCTCGCTGCTGCACCGGACCCCCTGTTCTACAAATATGTGTTTACCTCTTTGAAACCAAAACCCCCAGAGTTGGGCATAATTTAGATTTATCCAATGAGAATTTCACCAGTTACTTGCAGTCGATGTATTTATGAAAGATAAAGGCATGAAAAAGCTCCACTTTCACTGTAATCTAAAGCTGGATGGAAGAGGTATCTATTTTAGGAGTTCCTAATGGTTAAAATGTATATTTATGTTCTTCTGCTAAGGGACAGGTATCTGTTCAAGTTTGTACTTTTATTTCACATGCCTCTTGATAACATTAACAGAACTAATTTTGTTAAGTAGCCAGTTAATTAGAGTGAGTTATTGTTAAAGAACTTTATATGTTCCATCTTTAAAGCAAAATAAAATAACAGATAAAGAGGAGAAAGGAACAGAGAAAAATCCAAGACTTTGAGAAAAATGGGAAAACAGCTATTTTTCTTAAGCAGCTGTTTTCCTTACCTTTATGGAGAAGTGTGAGAAAGATTAAAATCTACAAAGAGTCATTACTTCTGCATGAAAGCCATGAGGTTTAAGTCAGAACATGACATACAAACACAATAAAATGTAGATCTGAATACGCAATAATTTACAGAGGTAGTCTATTCCTAATTCAAATACTCCCATAATCACCAAATGCCATGTAATGCTACATTTCTTATCTCCTTCAGATAATCAGATTCTAACATCAACTGTACCTGTTCAAGAACTTCTTTGAAAGTTATAGCCTCTTTGATATTTGTTACAGGGCTATCATACATGATCGCAATCTGATTTCCTCGTCCATTCTCAACATGACGATCTACAGCATTATAACAAATATTCAGCTCTCCATCTACAAACCTGGAAAAAAAAGGAAGCATCAAATAATGGTCAATTTTTTTCAAACTAGTTAGACTAATTTCAAAGGACTGATAGCACTAAGTGTTTTTAAAGTATGGAATTCAATTCGGAAAGCCCTTTAATAATAGGTCTGTGACAGCCAGAACCAGAGGGATTAATAAGCAATAATGTGTGCTTCTTGGAGGCATTTGGTGTTTTGCCTAAATAGGTAATATTAGTTAATATAAGCTTGTAAGTTTGCAAATGTAACTTGTCTGTCATAAGTTTAATCAAACTGATAAATTAACTGTTCATGGAACCGACTCGGCCCCAGAGGCAAAGCTGTAGCTGTGAGACTAGCTGGCCTAACGGTTTTTTGCTCAGGATTCAGCCTTAGCGATAAAACCTAGATCTAACTGCTAGGCACACCCAAACACATTCCAGGAAGAGGTATCCCAAGAAAGCATATTCAACTGAAGCCTAAAAGGGGTTGGGATTTAGGCGGAGCAATGTCAATTTCAAACCTAAATGTGCTGCATCATAATTTGCTTATTGGATAAACCTGAGTCTGGGTAGTAAACTTTTGTGATGATTTTGACACCTTTCAATCCCATAGGGTAACAGCTATAGGGCAAGATTGTGAGTGGCCCTGAAGTCAACAGATTAGCATAAAACTAGGTATAAAAAACACATGCATCAGGTAACCAGCAGGAAGGAGGGAACAGAACAGTCATTTCTGTTCCACGCCTGGACCCCGGACTCCCGGTGTGAGTAAGGATTGGATCCTGAGCAAGGGCCCTTCCCCGGTAAGCCCTCTGACAGCGTTGATCTTCAGGGACTCCTGACTTCGCTGGAACCACTTGGCGCGCACCTGGCATTGAGGGACTATCGATAAGTTGCCAACCCATGTCTGTCTATTTGTTGCTTTGAACACCCCAGTGTGGCTAATACCCTCACAGTGCCCTGTTGGCCTGTGACAGATTGATCTATCTATCTATCTATCTGTTATTATTATCTGTTATTATTTTACTATTAGCTCTTTTGTATTGCCTTATCTGCTTATCGCATTTATCTTTCTGTTAACTGTTGTGTGTGTGTAAGCTATAATAAATTTGCCTTTATTCCACTCCCAACTTTGCCTCCTCGATCCAAAATTGATACACTCACAGTGCCCAGCTGGCCTGTGACATAGGTCAAAATAATTTCCTCAAAAATGGATAAACAAGAGTATCAGTGAGGTCATAAATGCCTTAGTTTAACTTCATGAAGACTTGGAATCAGCTAAATATAGTTGTGATATGATGTGGCCTCACCAAAAGGAAGGTAAGTCACTTCATCCAATTTTGGAAAGTAAGATTCCCTGGACATAAACAGAATTTGGACAAAAGAACACCTTCAAATCCCAAGCACCAGAGATACACGTCAAGCAGGCATGGTTCAATAATTAGTGAATACTAGACACAGAAACCAAATGAGCAGCAAGACTTTTTTTGATCCCACTGTCACTGTGAACTTATGGACAGGAATGAGAGAAAAGATGTCTTGATGTATCTAAAAAGTTTTCAAATACACACTAACCATTATAACTAAAAATAGTGCTTTGCCTGAAACAGAGTAATTAACAAAGGTTAAAACAAAAAAGGTTTGCCTAGTTTATTCCATACATTTTGGGGCAAAATGTGATACACAATTACTCTGTATTGGCATTGTAATGTACTTTATTTAGAAAGAAAGAACACATTTAGGACTTAAAATATGCTTGTTCATTTCTTAGTATCTACTGTAAGATATGCAAGCATCTGTATTTATATGAAATCAACCAAATGGTTATATAATCTTAAGTATTTGTCTGACATTCATAGTGCATTTGACATTACCCTGCTGTACTCCAATGATTTTAAAAAATTGCTGCAAAGCACAGCATGAGTCATAGTCTTCTCAACAGCCAGATATTTACAGAAAACTGTCATCTTCTAATTAAAACCATTTCGCAAAGTTAAATTTGGTTTTTATTGTAACGTTATATAGAAGAGAATATTCAAACGTAGCATTATCCTTAAGTGTGAAATATAAAAAGAATCACATTAATTTGAAAATTAGCCAGTATCAAAAATGAACTCCAGCAATGGTCTCCGCTTTGTGTGACCTGACTCATGCATGTTCTCTGCCCAACTCTACACATTTACCAATAATACAAAAACCTGTAAGGGATGATAAATTAAGCTGCTGAATAAAGTCATTTAGGAACACTCAGATCCCATAAAAAGACTATGCTGAACTAGGATAACTAACCATAAAACAGAGGGTTTAACGTGGCTCAAAGGAAGGAACAAGAAGTCTGAGGGAATAAAATATAGTGAATCTGGACAGAGACCAGTCCAAAGCTTCATTCAGCTGTCATGTCACAGGTAGAACTGAGATGTAGGGCTGGGGTCAGGTTTCAGGGGCCACAGGGCAACAATACTGGAAGTCCAGAAGCCAAAGCCAAGGGCCATAATACCAAGTGTCAGTTGAAGTCCACGGTGTCATGGATCAAGACAGGTCTGTGACTGAGACCAGGCCAGAAATCAAAAACCAGAGAGTTCAGAACACACAACAGGGGAAGCAGGAACAAGGCACTAGGATCTGAGGCAGTAGGCAAGGCAGGAACAAAGTGCAGGGGTCAAAGGCTGAAGAGAGGCAGGGACAAGGCTGGCGCAGGGCAGAAACTACAGCAAAAGGGGTTGAAGCAGAAGTGAGGCAAGGCAGGAGAGTCCCAAATAGCAGAGCTACAAACACTGTTCTGTTACAAGGCCCCAAGGGAAGTGGGAAGGTTTTTTAGCCCTCCTGTCAAGGGCTTGTGGCTTCTACTGGTTCACCACAGCTCTGGGTCACATTTCCCCATCAGGAACCTCACAGGAAGGCCAGGGCTGGGCTGGGCTGGGCCCAGCAACCAGCCAGCTGCTTGGTAGAGCTGCAGCCCAGGACTCCTCCATGAGCCTAGAAGATCATCTCCCTTCCTTCCTCTCCCCCCGCCCCAGGGGATTCTAGCAATGCACATCATGCTGCACATCCCCAACTCAAGGCATATATCTGCAAGCAGGGGAACCCCAATTGGGTTATCAGCAGGCTTACTGTTATGTAGCATGCTTCCTAGCAGGCTGCCCCCTGTACTGCCTAGCTCTGCTGCTTCTGTCTTTGTCAAATAACAGATTCTTTTTTTTTAACAATTAGCAGGTCCTCTGTAGCACTGTCCTGAAGCCAGGCTAGCTTTTCTGCAAGCTCCCGCTACACTGTTCTACAGACTACCTAGCCCAGGGTGGGGGCAAAGTCTGGACTCCATTTCAAACTCCAAAGTCTGCAGCAGACTCCATTTCCCAGCAGCCCCTGCCCGCGTTGCTGCAGCCAGTTTCCATGGTGGCCCAAAAAGCAGCAGGACCCTGACAGTGCAGTGCCAGTTTCCATGGAGAATGGCACCAGCAATCCATGGATTGGTCTCCATGGAAACCCAGACCCTGCCCTGTCACAATGCCACTGCTACTGGGATCTCCACAGAAATGAGCCACAATGATGCAGAGAGGGGCTTCTGGAAAACGGAGTCCACTACAGTCTTGAACCAATGAGTAGGGTGTTTGAGTGTACTGGTTTCAAGGGTTCTGTTTGAGGCCCTCCTTGGGTTAGCTGCTCCCTACCACATTTTGTGAGCTGCCCCTCTTCTGCACATCTGGTCTCACTCTGGTCCTGCCACAGGAGGCAGTTTTCCCAATGACAATCTGATCCAAAGAACCATGAAACATGAGGATAACATCAAACTAACCAAGGTACCCCCAGGATCAAAAGGCAACTTCCATTTGCTGGGTAGTGGGCCCAGATGCCAGCGGGGAGCCACCCAATGTTTCTACTAGGACAGGAGGGGTCTTAGCCTGAATGGGCACCCCAAGAATCCAAACCATGGTAGAGACCATGAAGTTGTCACCTGCCCCAGAGTCCAGCACAGTCAATTGCAGGAGTAAGGGGTCTTGGGCCCCAGGTATGTACAGGAAGACTGGGATTTGTAACTGGGGAGTTGGCTTCAGGGCAACCCCAGAGGCTGGTAATGGCAAAATGCTGCTTTTCACTGGGAGGGTTCCTACATTACTTTCAGACCTGGAGGCCCCCAGCAGGACCTGGATATTTTGATTCTGGTATGGGTTTCATCAGAGTTTTGTTTAGACAGATGGATAACCCATGGTCAGGGGGGCTGCAATAAAAGCAGAGATTCTTGTTCAGTGAGACTTGTGTAGGGATGACCTACAATAGTTTTCCCAGGTACTGATGTTAATATTATATTTCTTCAGATTGGTCTTCAATATGTCTTTGAATCTCTTATTTTGCCTATGTCTAGAGCACTGACCATCACTAAGTTGGGAGGGCCAGTTGTTAGACATCCTTATGACCCATCCTGTCCAATGGAGCTGGTGCCACATAACATAGCATTGCTGCTGGTGGTGTTTGCTTTAGCCAGAACGCTGGAGTTCATTCTTCTCTCCTTCCAGTTGATACGGAGGATGTTCCAAAGACATCGTTAATGGTAATACTGCAAAGCTTTCAAGTGTTTCTTTTATGTCGTTCAAGTTTCTCACACATACAACAGGGTAGGAATAACAACAGCCTAGTAAATGACAAATTTGGTTTGGTCTTGATGTCACAATCACTGAAAACACTAATTCAGAAACATCCAAAGGCAGCGCTGGCAGATTTTTTAGTGTTAAATATCATTGCCTATGCTTACTTTTGGGGAAAGGTGGATACCCAAAGAAGGCAAACACTCAATATTCTCCAAGGACTGTCCTCCAATTGTAACATGTGGAGGAGCAGCTGGTTGGTGTGGCATGTACATCACAGAAGCAGCCACAAGTGACTCAGAGCTCTTCAAATGAGTGGGCACACATGACATAGCCATCAGCATATTTAAGATCAAGAATAGGGGTGATGGTGGTTATCTTGAATTTGGAATGTAACCATTTGATGTTACAGAGATTCATGTCCATTCAATACCAGAT